CAAAATTATGTTTGACGTTAAATTATAAACCCTTAGTGTAATAATAAAAAAAATAAATAACCCTAAAAGCAAATTAAAAATTATGTTTTCACTGGAGCAGGTTATAAGCCCACTAGAAATGTGATCTGTAGTCACCAGTTTATGGGCAAAATTCCATTTCTCAAGCATTGCTTTTCTTTTTTTTTTTTTCCCTCTTTCTACCAAGCTAAAAAAAAGCTGCAATTCAGAAAATTAAGCTTGGTTACTGCAAAAAGGTATTTTTAAAAATTTTAATTAAAAAACAAGACAGATGTGATACAGGGGTTCTCTCTGCCATATCCCTACCTATCACAAAAGCTTTAGCTTTGTTCTATAAAGTGGGGGTTTTGCAGAAAAAAAAAAGAAGTAGTGAGGAGGTAAAGCAAATTCTTTCCAGATGCTGTCCCAAGACCAAAATCTTGTTGTGTGACCACTGCAGTGGTCCAGTGTTGCCAGGGGCAGGTTTGAGGATGCAAAGCTTCTTTCTGCCCCAGAGATGTGATGCAAATGTCATTGTAAGCAAAGCTCACAGATAAACTTCAACCTTCAGAGGCTGAGAGAGAAGGATTGGTAGAGTTAACCATAGTGATAAGAAATATTTTATTTATTTATCCGTGTAAATTTCATAAATTAGCCCAGGGCATATTGTGATATCCTTGTATCATGCTGGTTTTGTATTTAAACTAAAAAAAAAAAAAGGATTTCCAACAGAATTGTGGAGGATTACTTACTTTCAGAAATGTTTTGAAATAAAGAAGATTTCTACTAAACATTTATACATTTCCCCTCATAACCAAAATTCTAAGTCAGGTTCACACTTTTCCTGGTTTGCTGATATTATCTGGTGGGATGAGTTTGCAGGATGAATTCACAGGCAGGCAACATTAAAATTTTGGTGATCTTTCTGTACACAATTATAAAAGTTGGTCATATAAGCAAAAAAAAAAAAAAGATAATTAGAATACTTCTGAACAGTCTAAGATTGTTGGCATGTAAAATTCTTCTCATTAGCTAGAATTCAAGCTCCAGTGAAAATGGTTTTAGGAGGCCTCCAGTGCCCAAACATATGAAAATTAATCCAAAGTCACGTAAAATGTGACTTTAACTTTACAGAGAAGACTTCATTTTACATTTGTACCTCGAAGATTTCTTAGCACCTCTAAGTTCATACTTATCACCATCTTCTCACAAAGCTAGTGAGGTGTTCAGGTTTTTTTACAAAGGCCTGAAAAGAGCTTATTCACTTTGAATTCGTTCTTAATTTGTTTAATTTGTTCTTAAATTGCTTCTTTGTGTGTCCATAAAGAACATATCATGTTAACACCAAGATTCTGAGTTCATCTGTTTAAATGCCCCAGCTTGGTCCATTGCTTCTCCTTGCTTGCTGGTGCCCATCATTCCCAAAAAGAGGTTGGGATAAGCTCCATTCTCCAGGGCCAAGCATGGGACAGGGCAGATTTCCTCCATGAGGCGGCAGGCACTGCTTCTCTGCATCCAAGATGAGACCTCAGAAGCATTGCCAGGTAACTCCAAACAGTGTTTACACATCTTCCAGTGCCAAACTCATTCCAGCAGTGGAAATTAATTTCCTAGAGTGTTCTGGGAAGGAAGAGATGAATTAATTGCTGTGGACACCACGATACCCTCCAAAGCCTACAGTTAGTCTGGGTTCAGATTAGCATGGAACCAGTTGTAATTGGGCTCCTCTTCTTTATCATTCAAGAGCTCTTTTACATGACAACAGGATACTCTCATCTCCAAGGGATACCTTTGGCACTTCCACCGCTCTCATTTCTTTGCACACCCCTGTTCATTATTGAAATCTTGGAACCAAAGCAGGGCATGGGGAAGTCTGTCTGCTTTATTTCACCTAAGCAAACTCTGCACTCCCTCCTTGGCACAGGAAGCATTTACAAAAGTTGTTTAAAGAGCAATTGCTCTTCTTCACTGGGGATGCTGGTCTTTGCTTGGAATTTAAATCAGGTTTGTGGCTCAGAAGGGGAATGTGAGGCTTCTGAGCTGTGTTTATGAGGCCACTGGTGCTGATGGGCTTCAGGAAAGGAGATCTCATTGGACTGGCTGTGATAGCCTCATATTGCTCTTCACCATTAAAATTGTGGGCAGAAGACAGAATTAGGAGCTTTAAAAATGCATAATGTAAATAAGCTCTGAATGCTGACAAATAAATGGAATTGTATTGTTGAAACTGGAGATCATAGAGCAATACTGGCGTAGAAAGTGGGCCCTGTGTCTATGGGAAAAAAAATTAACTCAGATTGCAGGTCCACAAGTGGGGTCTGCACTGCCTGCACGTGTTTTTGTTGCTGCCTGTATGTTTCTTGCATGTTTTGCTATGAAGTCTCACTCTCTTTATCTGTCTTGACAGATGGAATCAGTAAATGTAACATTATCAAGTTTTATCTAAAAATGTCTCCCATTGATAGCGCATTTATATCCTGTCATAATAGTTCTTTGTACCAAAGCAAGGGGAGCTGGGAAAATCCTAACTAGTGAGTAAGCTTTCATTTTTAAAGTAGTAAAAAAGTTCTTTGTTCTACAGCATCCTATTTTTAGAGTGAACTTAATTAAAGTGAGTTAGGAATTTTGAAATCTGGAATAGGAAAAATTGGGTCATTATTAATTATTATGTATATAATAAATCCAGGGGCTGTGGTCTTTTTTCTTCACAATGCACGTATGTCTTCTCCTTCCTCACAGGCATTTTTCATTACCAGAGGAATCAACTTCCCTTCTCCAAAGCCCTGGCTTAGCAACTTGCTGAGCTGAGAATCGAGCTGTAAGCACACAAGGAGGACTTTTTTTGGGGGCTCACTCCAGACATTGTCAAGGGCATTTCTGTGCTGAATTTATACGTAGCACCCTGTCAAAACCCAGTTTTTCTAATGCATCTCTGCAGCCACTTTCCCTCCTCCCAGTCCTTCAACACCTTTTCCCTTTCACCTGCTCCCTGTCAGTCTGCAGTCAAGGAATGCAGGTTTCTGTAAATGGGAAGGTGAAGCTCTCGGGACCACAGGGAGTAATAATGTCCCCAGCTCATATTATTTTCTAGTGGTGTTCATATTCCTTAATCAATATAATTCATGTTGGCTTTCTCTCCCCTTTTTCTTCCTCTGACTCTTTTTTTCAGAGTCAGCATTCCTCTTGTCAACTGCTTTTTCTTTCCTGTTTTCTTTCTCCCCATCACCCCCTGCTCCTGAGCTCCCCTGTCACCTCTCTGACCTGGATCCTTTCCCGGAGATGCTTGGTCCTATTGTGAGCTCCCATCTGCCAAATCACCACCTCTGCTGCTGCTACACGTGTGCAGCGTTCACATCTGGACAGATGTGGCCTTTCCATGTCACCTGGGCCTTTCTTTGCTTCTGGATCCCCGAGGAAGGGAGTGCCCAGGTAAAGCAAGGCAGAATTGCCTCGATGCAAACAGCTCATCTGCAGTTCCTGGGCTTGGAGTAGCAAATAGGATCTTTTCCAACTTGTACCATGATTTCTATTCCTGTTGAGCCAAAAAACACCGAAGAAAGTTGAATAACTTTTTTTTTATAAATAACTTCTAACAAGAAAATGGAAATGTCTTTCTACCAATTTTTTTGAGTGTAGTTTTAATAGCTCTCAAGGTTTTATTGCATCATCTTTTGAGAAATGAGGAACCACTGGGACATCAGTGGTTTTTCTCTCTCCTTCTCTCAAACTGTACTCCAGTTGGAGTTTAGTACTATTTGAGCTTTCCACAAAGATTTCCTAAATAATTTGTTCTAACTATGTCATGTTGGTAAGATATTCTTCTGGTTTTACAGGCATTGCTAAACTGCTGGGGCTGCACTGGTTTGTGCTATTCAATATCTGTTTTTACCCTCATAATTCTTGGATTATTCCCTGTGACATCCTGTCAAATCTCTTCAGTTTGGACTCTTGTAAATGATGCCCCTTGGGTTTCTCTGAGTGCCTACAAACAGACAGGAAATGTTCAGCAGTGATTAAAGCCCATCAATATACTCTGTCAAGTAGCTGCTGTATTTAAAACCATAGGTAGACAGATCTTAGCTGGGGAAAAATTGGTGAGGTAAAGCAATTATGATGTTTATTTCTAGGCTATATAAGAGAACACAAATACCTGTACATATATACCTATATATTTATGAAAAATAATGCACTTAGAAGAATGAAAAAAATGAAGTAAACAGCAAGTAACACACAATTTGTATTTTGCCTCATAAACCTCTAGTTTATTTTAATTATAGGTATAAATTACCATATGAATACTAAAGTGTAAAAGTAAATATGAAAAGAATGAAAATGAACATTTACTGCAGCTCAACATTGTTTTTTTTTCCACTTGAATATTTGTTTTTCCATATGTGATGTACAGTTAGAATGGAATTATGGGTAGAGAGATTATTGTTATTACTATCAGCTTTCCAGTAACAGGTAAAGGGTAATTATCTCCTAGGCCAAAATCTCTCTGTGGCAAATATCAGTTTTGAACTCCTGATCTGAGGCTTCAAATTTGTACCTGATGGATGCAGAGAAAAGACTTTTAATCTGCTCTTACATGGCATTAGAAGGGTTGAGAGGGAAAATGGCAAAAAAAAAATAAAAGGTTGTTTTTTCTCTCCAAACCATGCATAAATATCTTGATATATCCCGTGCTGAAGATCATGCTTTGCACATGCAGTAATACACCCACTGTATAATTTTTACAACCCATCAACAGATATGTTGCACACTCTCAGGATGCGTGTTGATTTAAGAATTTTGATACTGGGGTGGCAGATTTTCAAGGAATATCATATTGAGAAGTGCAAAGACTACCTCAGGGGCCATGTCTCTTGTTCACGTGTCTCTGCTTTTGGATCAAGAGGGTGCAGCTTATTTTGATAAAACCCAAACTTTGCTTTGAATGGCTTGTCCAGGAATGAGTTGGCCACAGCCCTGCCTCTAGGTAGGTTTTTTTTTTTTTCCCTCACACTGGAAGTTTTAAATATGAATGGAAAGGTGGTTAAAAGGTAAATCATGTTGTATTTCAGGTTTCTAGAGCCATCTGCAGCAACTCCTTGTGTGTGTCACCTCTGTGCTGGAGTGTGAAGCCAGCTGTGTGTTTGGGGCTGTTCAATAATTCAGCCTCAGAACCCCAGATTGTCAAACTGCTCTTAGAAGTGTTCATCTTTCCAGGTAGGAAGAGGGTAAGAGGACAAAAACAAAGTGATTGTGTCCAAATATTAAAACCAGAGCCAAATTTCAAGAGTTATTAAATTCAAGGGATGTGACTTCAGGTGTTGGTTTATTTTTGAGACAGTGGCTGACAACAGATAAGATTTAGATGAGTGGTCACTCAGACTCCCAAACTTTTGGGTCAGGGCTTGGATTTGGTTGGGAATTTAGACCTCTCTTTTTTTCTTGGTGCATCAACATGTATAAAACCTGTCTTTAAGGCCTTAAATACCTGCTGCAGACATTCTTTGCTGCCTCTAGGCACCGATATTCAGTTTGCCAACCTATTACTCCCATCTAAACTTCACAATGGCTCCTTAGCTACATATAATTAAAATGATAGACTAGTTTTCAACCAAGAAGTGTTGAGCTAATTCCGCTCCATAAGGGAAGAAATAAGATTAAAATCCAGAAGGGAGCCCCCTCCCTTTCCCATTTCTCCAGAATTACCACCAGCCATGAGATTATCTCCAAGGTTTCCTGGAAATGCATAAACCCAAAGCATGCCACGAACATCTACCCTTGAATGGAATGATCCATCACTCATTCAAACAAACAAAACCCCTTCTGAGCCTAATATCCTTAGTGTCATCGTTAATTATAATATGCAATCATAATCATTTTGGAGGTAGACCTGGGGTTAATTTTGCCAATCAACTGCTGATCATTAACAGTGGCCTATTGAAGTGCATGAAAATGATCCCCTGTAGTTGTTACACGTAAGAGGGAAGTAATACATTGTGTGCTTTTTTCCTACAGGCTGTGTGCCAAAGTATTCGTTTTCTCTGTGCCTCCAATTCACAATTACTGGATACTCTTAGCTCTTATCGTTTTTTATGGACAGGTGGATAGGAAATTGTTTTGGCATAGTATACGCAGGGAGAGGTGCTGCAAAGGGTTGTCTCTGTTTTAAAGGCTTGTTGCCAGCCTTTTATGATTTTTTTTTATCTTTCAAGTTTTCTTTTTATAGCAGGCTTTGAAATAATATGCAGGTTTGTTTTGTCAGAAGTACGAAGAAGGGGTCTTTTGTGGCATTCAGTTGTGTCACTCCCTACTACCTGCACTGACACTGTGCTGCTCTTCAGGACCTTTGCTTCATTTGACTGGTGAAAACTGATCTTAGCAAAACCCCAAAAGTAGAAAAAGATGTGTCAAAATCTTAAATCTCTGCTTTTCTGTTTGAGCATCCACAAAGCAGATAGGGGCTGTCAACATATGTATGTATATGCTAATATGCCTGTAAAATGGAGGGGGATGTTTATTTGAAAACATAAATAAATACAAAATATTTTTCCATTTCACAACATCACAGAGTATACAGTTGCAAAGGCAACAGTTTAAAAGTATGAAACCTTAAAATATTCCTATGGTATTTGAGTGGATGGGCCTGAAGGATTCATCCTAATTAAATTAATTTTGTGTCCTGTGATTTGGTTGCCTTTAGTGAAATCACAAAGTAAGTTGTTTGTATATGAAGCTATAAATGAAAACAAGTAGATCCAAGAGGTTCCTTTCCACTGATAAATTACTAAGTGGTGGCCAAAATTACTTTAATAAAAAAGCTGATTCTCAGATAGTGGGAGGCTGAATAAAATTAGATGTCTCCAGCAATCTTTTTCCTGTGTCTAAAGAAGGATTTCCCAAATCAAGGCCGCCAATCACAAGTTGTGTTTTAAGTGAATTTAAACAGTGAAATTAAATGATTCAAAGTAACAGAAGGAAAAATAATTATATGAATGATCACATCAATTCTTTCTGTTCTCTGTTTCAGGATTACTGTCTGGGAAAAGGGATGCTGTATCTGAAATGGAACAAGGTAGTGATGTAGTGAAAGGCAGAAAAAAGCTACAGTTGGAGGACATTTAGATTTTTTTACAAAACATTTTTGCCCGTGTACTAGTGCCGAGGAAACATGAATGGGCACAAACGTCTATTTTTAATGAAAGAAAAGAGTTGATTCACTCTCAGGCAGCAGTAACGTAACTTATTTTGTAACAGCAAGAGCCAAGCATATGGTATTCATCATTAGCAGTAGCAACAGAAGCCGTTTCTGCCGGGCTGGGGCTGGAGAGCCCCGCTCCAGCAGCGAGCCCTGCCTCGCTGGGCTCCCACCTTCCTCTGCCCTGGCACCACTGCTCCTTCTTAGGGCTCCCCTAAAAACTGGGGCCACACAAGACTAAGAGAATAAAAGTGGATATACTTATTGAACGGCCTTCAGGTGCATTAAGGGTGGATGAACCCTCCCTGAGAGGCTACATCCAAAATGGACAGCAGGTCGCAATTTTTTCACACTTTTATAAGTTTATTCCATTTGCATATTGTGGGTTAATTGTCCAATTACAGTGTCAGGTAATGAAGTAATTTACCCCAAGTTTGCTCCTCCCTATCTCACTTTTTTATACTTTTCTAGACTTGAGACAGTGAGGTGTCCTTGATTCCCAAGCCTAGAGAGGAATTGTTTTGTCCAATCAAAATCTCAAGACAGCAGTTAACACTCTATATGGCATTTAGAGTTATACACTAAAGAATTGCAGGGTTATAACATAATCATATATGAAATTATAATATAATAATATATGAAAAATATAACAGCTAAAATCCTTCAGCATCACTACCAGTGCCCGTGGCCCAAGTGTGTCATCGAAGATTCCAACCCCATGATTTGCTCTTGTATTTGTGGCCTTCTCAGTGAAACCAGTTCCATAATTAATGGTGTTCTACCTTTGTTTGCTCCTTTTTCATGCTACTGGTTGCGAGCTGTATTCATCTACAGGGTTATCAGGTCTATCTGAAGAAGCACTATGTGACAAGAAGAGCTTTTTATTTATTTTTCCCACCTCTTCTCTTAGTAATTGGCTGGGCAGCTTGGAGATGTGAATCAAAGCTGGAGCTGTCAGTGAGCAGCTTTTAAAATGTCCTTACCATTTCCATTATCATTATGCTTACACACTACAACAGCAGCTAAGCTTTGGCTTGATAGCCACAGCCATCATCTCTATTCCTCTATGGCTTTCAAAATGTTCCTGTAAAACAGAAATTCCTGGCAACACATCAGGAAGCTGCCTCATCCCATCCCTGCCAAGACTGGGCTGGACGGGGCTTGGAGAAACCTGGGGTAGTGGAAGGTGTCCCTGCCCATGGCAGGGGCTGGAATGAGATGAGCTTTAAGGTCCCTTCCAATCCAACCTGTTCAATGATTTTATAATCAATTGTAACCTTTATTGCCTGTTAACATTCTCCTTCACAACTTTTATTCTTATGAAGGGTCACTTATTCCTCAACATCAAGTTTTCCTCTGTTCATTTCTGTATTCATTTAAACTGGGAGATGAATCCAACCATGGGCTGGCCTGTGAGCACTCTATTGTTGTTGTCCTCAAAATTCCAATTCAGTTTGTACTTTGTTTCTACACAATCCCATGATATTGCGTAAAATATTGTTATGTTACGCTGTTACTAGATTGTGTCAAATCAGGAAAATACTTGGAGGCTGCCATTCATCTCAGGATATTTTAATTAGTGGATTTCTTTATCTGTCTTAAATTACAAACTTCCTCCTTGAAACTAGAAAAGTATGGAGGGCCTCATTAGTTCTGTCTCTGTGTTGCACTTGAGCAGTGTTAGAAATTTATGTTTGTGACTGAAATGTGAGTTTTGCTTTCAGTACCTTTATGTTCTAGTCTCCCCCTTCCTCCACCATCCCCCAGTTTTCCATATGAAACAATGCTTCTATCTTTCCTTTTCTGCTAAAGGCTGGTTTGTAATGATGGTAGGATTTTGTGAATACTAATACAGGTATTTGTATTCTCTAAAGGGAAGGCAGCATCGGTTCTGGTCTGTAAATATGTACAACAGTTTATGACTTTCATGAAATATTGGAGGAATGCAGAGATGAGAAGTTTAGTAGTACGGTAAGAAAGCCAAAATCCAAACAATGCTTCAAAGCCTTTAAAAATAAATCTTTATGTTGGTGTTGACAAAACTGAAGTAGTGCCATTTGAGACAGATTTTTCCATTGAGAGGCAATTTCAAAAGCACAATTATATTCATATTTGGCCAAAGTGGAGTCCTATCTGAGGCCACCTAGATTCAGAGCAAGCTGAATTAATGCACCAGCCTCTATCCAGAGCCAAGGGACCTCTGTTGCTTCCAAGGAAGATTCCCCTCTCACATACAGGCTTGTAGAAGAGCTAATGATTTATTCCATAGTAAAAAGCCTCCCAGATACTCTGAGATGAAAAAAAAAAAAAAAAAGTATTTCTGCTTTGGACCATTTTGTCACCAAAATTTGGGTATCTGCTTGGCTGAGGCAAAACGTTAGCCCCTATTTGATACCGAAGTATGAAAGTTATTAATGGAACAAATTAATAGTTTAAGGCAAATTTTAGGTGATTTTTTTAAAATGATAGGTTATTTCTTCTTCACTCCCTTTAGAATTTTTCCAATCCTTGTAAATATTTCTGAGAAAATGAAACTGACTCCATTTTTTACTTGGAAAGGAAGATGTGATGGGTCCAGCCTCTGCGGTCAGGTAATGCTGAATGCCCATCTAGGAAATCCTGTGATCCACCAAATAAAGTGGTAAACTTTACCTGTCAGTCCCATAGCTTGCTGAAAAGCAGAAGCAATTAAGATAATCAAATAAATTGGGAAAAAAAACCAAACTGGGAAAAAATGTGGGAAGCAGAGGAATTTCCCTTGCAAATCTAAGGCTATGGATTTCCATCCTTACTTGCACCTCTTGGGCAGAGGAAGAGGAGGGTGGTTAGGGCAGGTGGCTCTGCTCTGCCCTTTTATTCCCTGGGGAGGAGGGGGTCAGCATCCTTGGACCTTCAGATTTGTGGCTGTTATGGGATGGTCTGATCCCTTTGGAGATTTGGTGGGAGCAGGCAAATTGTTACCAGTTTCTGTTGCCAAGCTGCACACCACAAATGTGTCTGTAAGCCCTGAGAAATAAATATGACTGCAGCTTTGTTTATAAGTGGCATAAAAACAACAGAGACAGCCAGTCAACCAGCTTTTATAAATTATGATTTTAAACTGAAAACATAATTTGAGGTCAAGGCTGCTGCTCTGATTTCCAGGAAATTTTTTTTTCTTTTAATTCCCTGATTTTTTACCTCTTCCTCCTTTATGAACTTTTACCCATATTTAAATATTCAAAGCAGAAATAAATCAGGAATAAGGAATACTATTGTTAGTGGGCAAAAGATGAGGATTTCAAATTAAATTGTGGGGTATTTTAGCTCTTTGAGCAACTTCATGTTTTCATGAGGTAAAAGGCGTGTAGCCTTTCAGATTTTGTTGCTGTATTTTGGGACTTCATCTCCAGGCATGTTTGTGAGCAGCCAAAATGGCCTTTGCAGCACATTGGGGAACAAAGATTTCAAATCAATTATTAAAAAAACCCCCTAAATTCCTAACAACAGTAGGAATAGCACCTCTTTAAAATTCTCCGAAAATGAAAGGTGTGGTGCTTGCATCACTGATATTGGTAGTAGACATAAGAATTTGTATGAACTTTAACTGATTAATCTCAACTGTTTATTTAAATTGAACAATATTTGCTTTTGCTGTTTATCATGCAGCTGTCCTCCCTTTAGTTTTTTTTTTTCTTTTAAGCTTTTAAGGCTTTTTATTGCTGCCTAATCCCTTCCAATGTACTGTATATCACATTTATGAAATGTATGGGTACCAGAGAGAAGCAGACAACTTTGTTTTTGAACAAAGACGCCAGGATAAGGGGCAATGTTTTTCCCCTCACAGGTGATGGAGTACGTACAAAGAATGCAGCGGATAATGGCAGTCCTGTCCTCTGAACAGATGGTGATGGTCCTGTTGCTAGGATAAGGCCTGAAGAATTTAGTTTTTAATTCCACATTATTTGCCTCAGTGCCATGAATATCCCTAGGTTTCCTCGGGCAAAAATACAACAAATACACAGAAAGAGAAAGAGAAGTGACACGCGGAAAGAAAAGGAGACAGAGCACGGGAAAGGACTGGAGCCAGGTCAATAGAAGCTTTTGGGAAAATGTCTGCTCAGCTGTCTGCAATCACCTGGGTTTGAAAGGCAGGCAGGAAGGAAGATTGGTTTGGCATGAGAACGAGGCCTTTGATGCTTTAGATACCACAGAGAAAAATACGCATTTCTTCCCATTAGAAGTCTGTTGACTTTCCTAATTAAGATAAACATGTTTCTGAAGAAGTTAGCTCTCACAGTACTACATTTGTAAAAACAACCATGCTTTTAAAATATATACACAGACAAGGACGTGTGCCAAGAACTAGTGCTGGTGTGGTCTTACAAATCACTTTACAGGAATATTTTTAAATCATTGCTTTATTTAAAAGTGAGTGGATTTCATTCCCTCCAGTCAATTAAATATCTAATTTCAACTCAAGTAGATAATAACCAAAGTATTTTTATATAAATGAATGAATAGTTAGAAAACTGTTAAACACACAGCCCTCAAGCATGAAAAATATATTCGTTTAACTGTTTTATTCTTTTATCACTAATTTACTACAGAGATTTTTGCACTTGCATCATTTTCAGTTTTGGCACTTGTGAAGGAAAGAAATCTTATTTAAAAAAATAATTCAGATTGAAATTCTCAAAGATCCCTGTGCCACCTGAATTTTTCCATCAACCATATTAAGGATGTGGTGGATGCTGCTGGTGGAGTTGTGATCTTTCCACAATGGCAGTTTTGAAAAAAAACCAAAACTGTGAAAATTTCCAGTGATCCAGTTCCCACAACAAAGCACATGTTAAATGTTAAAAAACATGTTGAATTCATAAAAGAACACAATGCCTGTAAAATGTACAATACCAGAAGTTTGGGAGATTAATTGCAATATTATCCCCTTTCTAGGTGCCTGCACAAAGCCAGACTGTATTAAATTATTTAAGGGAGCCCCATATCAGTTCCTCTAGAATTGGTGAGTGTCTGGTTCAAATTGTTGATTTTTCCTCCATAGTGATTCTGCTAATTGGGATGTGATGATTTATCACACAACAGTGTTAGGAGAAGGAAATAACATGATGCAGACATCTCATATTTTGTGCTTAAAAATAAGTTGAGGAAAAATGTGAATGAGACTATATGGGACAGCAAATGCACTGTGTACCAAAATGCATTGTATATGTTATTTACATTGTGTGTGTTTATGCATATATATTATTCATGTGTTTGTCCTAAAAATCGGCAGAATTTAATTTTATCAACTGTGGGGTGTTATCTTTCAATCAGGGTTTCAAAACTAGCTCATTTGGAACAGAAATTTTTCCTGGTCTTCAAATAGTTTCTGTTTTCATTATCTTTCCAGAAATATTATTAAGTAATATAAAATGGATCAGGATTTATTGATATTCAATTTTCTGGGTATCACATTTTCTTGGAACCTCATAATCACCAAACAGCCAAGAAAATAGCCGTGAACAGCGCCTTACTAATATATTCTATTTCCAAGCACCTCAGGTTTTGGTGAAATTGGTGATTGGTTCATAGAGTTCCTTCTCCTTCATCTTCATCATCCTGAAAAATATTCAACCAGCTTTTTGAATGTTTGTTTTCTTTCTTAGCACCTCTATATGTTACCTGTCTGTTCTCAATTCTCATTTTCTTAGGGCATAGTCACTTGTTTTACCACATTCAGAGGTTTAATAGAATTTTGCTTAATATTAGGTGCTCATCAGAGGGATGTCTTCTGACTACCTGAGGGACACAATTCCAACCTCTGCATGTCTTGGTGAGGCTGTTGAATAGATGTGTTTTTCAGCTTATTGTATGAAATGATGGGGTGAATTTGGTTCACGGCCCTTCATATGTAAATAAATAAAAATACCTCTGAAACTTGATCGGAGATGAAAGAAACCATTTCCGTCGGAGAGAGGGAGAAGTGGTTTCCCATGCCGTGTGCTTTGTGATACACACAGAAGCCTTTGTGGCTCATCTTGTTTATCCTTCCTATTCTAAGCAGGAGTCAGACACATGCCTCAAAATGGGATAATGTGTCACTTCTGACATTGCTCTTTTTATGTAGTTGGTGTTCTTTCCTTAAATATTGCCTGTTCCTTTAGAAGCCCGTTGTGAAGAGAGATGTAAGTGCTATTCTTCTCGATTCCTGGTTCATACAGTGTCATATTCTATGATCCTTTCACATTATTAGGATGGAATTCAGATTAGAAAATGTTTTATGTTTTAAACTCATTACAGAGGTACACGAATTTCCTTAAAAACAGAGTTTTCTTTGCTTTCTAATCTTAGACCTTTTTTAAAATACAAAAGCAAAAGGTGCCAGTGGCACAGCTACCTCAAGTAATGAAACACATAGATTTCTCTTCTACTTATTTTATTTCTCGCATTCATCATTCATATTTAATGCCACAGGCATTTGACTTCTTAATTCCCTATATTGAATTGAAGAGGCATGCACAGCATGCACTCCAGTTTAATGACTTGTAATTCTTCTTCATTGATGACACACTTTTTCACCTGGAAAACTTGTGGTGCCAAACTTCCTCTCACATGTGTGAGGCAGTCAGTATCCTTAAAAAGGTGGTGATGGTTGGAGACAGGAATGACTGGAAAGTGTAAGGTCCTGACCTTAAATGCCTCTTGGACTGAGAGAGCATTAGTCTAAGGGTTTTTCTGGTGATAGATATGTATATATTTATTATTTTTTTCTATATTTGAACCTCAGTTACTGTTTTCTCCCCTGCTGCCTCTAGGACGTGCCTCTTTGCTTATTCATTCTCTTTTTGTGAGCCAAATTTTGAGTAATACACAACATTCCCACCCTAAGATAATTAGCATTAATCTACTGAGTAGGTTTGGCAATAATCTTTCCGACAGAAAGGTTTTGTAGACTTCAGCAGGACAAGAAGATCATATGAAGGATAAATTGCAGTGTCTGACGTCAGTATTTTGGACTAAGATATGATGGACTAAGCACTATCCTGAAGTTATTGTTTTTTACAGACATCTCATAGGACTGTCGTAGTTAAGGTTAGTTACTTGTGAAAGTTTAAGATTTTGGATTAAAATATTCTGTAGAACTACAAAGCATTCAGGCCATTATAAGAACATTACACCTTTCCAGGTTTTCAAAGCACTTTAGAAGCATTTGCCAACCCTCATAGCACTGAAACATGGGAAGTCTTATCTTTTATTGATTTCCCAAGTGGGTTGACTGAGACATTGAAGAGTCCTGGTTTGCTAACTGTGAGCACTCTGAGAGCCAAATGCAACGTCTGAAGGAAAACAAAAAATGACACTGAACTTCCCCATGAACTATTACAGGGAAACCTTTTGGAGAGCTTCCCTCAGGAAAATGGAGGGAAAGACGCAGAGATGAAGTTGCCTGGTTATTCAGGAAGAGCACTCCTGAATGGGAACAGGAGGGTGTGGAGGGATTTTGCAATTAAATTCAGCTCCAGAGTAGAGGAATAGCCTTCATTCAAAACTTGTCAAGGTGTGTGCTCTTCATGAGGATAAGTGGCATGTGGATTGAGGGGGAAGAAGATTTTTTTGGAAGAGGAGGGCTAGGTAGGAAAACAAGTCCAGTTTGTTTTCCTCGTGGAAAGGTGGATGTTTCTGATACTTTTCAGTCTAACATTTTTTCAGCAAGATCCAAGAAAGAATTTATACTTGAGTGAGTGCAGTGATCATGAGAAAATGAGTGTTATTCTGTTCGTGAATGGTGATTTAACTATAATCTTAGTAATAGCCTTGAAGTTTTCCTTTGGAATATATCCTAAAGGACTGAAAGATAAATTAATGGTATATGTTGGAAAATATCTTCAAACATTTCAGCATAGAAGTATGAAGCTTATGTCTAGGAGGGATTTCAGAGGTCATCTATTTGCAACTCCTGTCCCAAGGCAGGAGCAGCTCTACCTAAAATGTGCTTTGGTTGTCAGGTGGTTTTTTAGCCTTGGAAATCTTCTATTATTTTCATAACTTTTCAATAGTTCTTCCTTCCACCCCCCAGCCTTGAAGATCTTAATGTATTTAGTGTTCAGATTCCTCTTTAGCAGTTAGAAATGTCTCAGAAAGTGGTTATTAATAAATCATTAAAAGTTTGCATCTCATTTAATTTCCTTGCTGCTCTACTACTCTTTATTTCCAGCCATAGTACAAAGTCATTTTGAAAACAGAAGGAGGAATCTTTCACAACTGAGTCAAATCTAAATGATGGGGTTAAACCCAGAGATTTTTTTTTCCTTTACCTGGAATGCTCTTTGTTATTCAAGTTATTTGCTTAGATTAAAGATTTCTTAGCCTGATTTTGTTTTATCTGGCATTGGTGAAGAAGAAATAATCTTGCATGCAAGGCTTTACAAGCTGCATATCTTGAACATGGAGTCACTTCACCAATAGGGCTTTCCTTGGAATAGGGAACAGCAAGGTTGAATATAAGGCTTGATAACTACAGATATTTTCAGTAGCACCAAAGGAGGTATGGGAAGTGATGAAAAAACTTATGAAAGGTAAACGGACTATAATTCATACTAAATATCTCCCCTTGTGCAGAAGCTCTTTTTAAATTACTCAGATAAATGAGCTCATTTATGGAATATTTTGTACTGCATGAACTTATATGGGCACCTGTCATGTATATATATTTTTAATACTGAACTCATATAGACGGCTTAAAGTCCCCCTTGCCCTTTAGTAAATTTAAATCTCCCACAAAGCTGCTGTACAGTAGTCATAAAGCAACATTTATGGTTCAACATAATTTCCCTTCATTTCTTTTTCTCTTTCTTTAAAAAAAAAAAGGCAGTTTAAAAGTAATAAAGCACTTCCTTCTGTAAATCTTTGATCTTTTTTCTTCCTAAGGGAAGATTAATTTGTAAATATGCTAATGGATTTGTATAATATGAAACCTTCATAAGAAAAACTACATTAGTTCATATGAATGAACACATCTATCTTATTCAATTTATAAACTAATGGCTGAGAGCATCAA